GGAAGAATAATGATATAAATAAAGCTGTCACTAAGAATGCCCTGACATATCCATCATCCCACACACTTACGCAGCTGTTGGTGCTAGCACATACAGTGAAACCATCACAGCCAGAATTGCCAAAAAGAATAACATACATATAACATAATATGTAAAGAATAACAGTATAAGGGACACACTACAGTATACATAAATGGCCTTAAGCCAAACACAGTGGCTATGAAGTAAAGAATGGAAATCCCATTGGAAGAGGACATGCTCACTGAGGAAAGTTTCCAAGTCCATGAACTGGATTCATGTCACTCACACACTATGAGGACTGGGTAACACTGAAAGCACCAGGACTGCTCAAGCACGAAGCTTCCAAAAAGCAGAATAGATCCAAAAGTAGTAAATCTGGCTTTGGACACTTTAGTCAACAAAGTCTTAAGGCACACAGCAGAGGAATCAAGCAACAGAGTTTCCTAGGAGACAGCTAATACAAAGCAGCACCATGAATGAGGGGAAGATTTCTCACCTGCAAAGTTTTCACTCTTCCGGGTATGTTTTCCTGAGACAAAACGTCACCTGCCACACTTCCTGGTGCAGACTCAAAAATGAAGACACTGTCATGGGACAAGGCTTTGTTTCCCATGCTTCCTTTGGGCCTGGGAAGAAAGGAAGAGTGGTCAGTGCACTGGGTACAGCCCTCCAACACTTCCCTGCACTACTTCACCAGGGCAGAGTGATCATAAAGAGGCCAGGGTGGGATGCACCTCATTTAACTTCAGATTTCTGCATGTTAGCTGTCTAAAGTACTCACTGCTAGCTCCTTTTACACTCAGAAGGGAGGAAGAAACGCTTTTTAGGATGAGGATCGAATGCAGGTATCTCTTTTCATATGTACTCATCATCTGCATTGAACACACTCTGTAGACTAGAGAGGGAGTCCAGAGTGATTAGGTCAGATGCTGGGATTTAGTTGGATGCATGCCACCCTGAGAGATGTCTACAGCAGAGAGGTGGGGTGACAGGGGTTCCCTGCCCTCCTTTGGTGGGAATGTGCTTAGCATGAGACATTCAGGATACAACCTTTGCAGCCTGATGTGTGTCATACCTGCCAACGATTGTGGATTATTTCTCGTCTCCTTGCAACTCCGGACGGAAAATGTAATTCCACTACATTAACAAACTTGATTCAAATCCTCTCAGGTCCAGCAATAAAAACAGTTCCGTTCACCTGTATTGTGAACATCGCCAGATCCCAAGCATATTAAAAAACGTAGATGGGACGAGTGTCCATGGCCACAGTTACATACCTATCCGTGGCCAAATTAAAGTACCCAGGTAAGATACTCCTGCTCTGCTTCTGTGCTCACTGGGTGTTCAGCCCAGTGAAGCACTGCTGAGTTCCCACAGCAGTTGTTAACTGAGTTGTAATCAACTGAGATTGATTGGGTTTGGGCTATTAAGTTGCACAAGGCACATTTTGCACTTGGGTGGCATGACAAGGAAAGCTCCAAATTTTTTATTCATTAAGTTTCACCAGCATAGGTAGGCATTGTCTGTACATTACTTTGTCCAAAAGACCACAAGGATGGCCTCTACCAGGATTTCATTCTAGCACTTTACTTGGAAAACAACAGAGAGTACTCATGTTGTTGGCTGCCAGCCTCATAACCCACAAGTTACAAGGATTCCTTGGCTCAGCTGCCATGCAGGCAACACTCATTGCCTCTGAAAGTTTGACTCAAGGTAACGGGATGATTAGGAACAGAACTCTGACAGTAAGTCTAACACTCTTCTTCAAGGAAAGAAGAGATCTCTGCTTAACACCAGATGCTCTCTTTATTTAGAAGAAAGCCCTGAAAGACTGTGAACTTTCATATAGTACATACACCGTGTAACCCCCCCCCCAAAAAAAAATTACTCTTTTTTCATCCTGCATCTCCCTTCTTTACATCTCCAGAGACAAAGTCTCCTTTGTCTGCTTGACTAACCCTCCTGTTGCCCCAAAGGTGTAGTCAATCAGTAATACAGTTATGCTGAGTCTCACGGTAGGGCAAAATAATTTGGCTCTATGTTTATGCCGTTCCGAAGACAATCTGAGCTCTTTCTATTGCAGCACAGGTCAGAGTTCGTGCTTCCTCCCATTATATGTAATAGTTAATGTCTGTGTTAGTTTATAGGACAGCAGTTCTACACACAAATAAGGCACTTGCCTTATTTCATCATTAGAGTGAATGAAGCCATCCCTTCTTTTTGTGTGTTTGATTTTAGAGTCCTTTTCAGCATGAAAGACACTCTATATGGGCAAGACATAATTTTAGTGCATTCAGAAAGACAGTGTCACACAACTTTTATTTATTGTAATGTATATTCATTGTTAGTTGGCCTATTTTATTTACTGCAAAGAACGCATGCGCATTAGGATGTATTAAACTTTTTAATGGGAGATTCCCTCACTTCCTTTACTTGGAATTCTTTAGCAATAAGAGCTGAGGTTTCCTTGTTCTTGAGACTGCCTGTGCAAGATCTGTTTCTTTCTTTCTCTCTCCACATATGTATCATCAGAATTACTGTATTTTCTTCTGGCAGTCACAAAAAGAGCATTGGATTAAATACACAATTAACTGCAGCTTTAGTACAGATGAGTCTCTTATGTGCAAATATACATTCACGTGTAATTTGAGGCAGTGTATTTATATTTGCACTGAAGCTAAAGATGCACTGTTAGCTAAACCCCCAGATGTTTCAGGCACTATATCTCCATACTGATTCCCCTACATAAATGCTCAATTCATTCATGTGTAGCAACACTTGAGCTGCCATGATTGAGGAAGTGATGGGACTCTACAGACAGCAATAAAGCTGCTCCTAAACTCATCACGGCCTGCGCTATCTTCCACTTCTTATTGCTCCAACCCCACTCCTTTTATTAGTGTTTGAGGTAGGTGACACAATTCCTTCAGGCAGCCACTCTCTCAAAAACAACTGCAGCCTGCCAAAGGAGTGAGTGTTGATTACAAAGACCAGGACAATTTGACATATTGTCCCAGCAGTTTTTCCTGCTCAAACCTTTTCAACAAGATTAAGACTATTTGGGACCCAATTTTTCTGTATTTAAGGTCTTTTATCCTTTTGATGATACAGAGAAGTTGTCATCCGTGGCACATGCTTTAATTTTGCCATCAAGGTTTTTCTGTTTCCATCCAAAACTGATGTCTTTTGGAAAATAATGAGGCAGTAGCACATAATGCTCCCTTCCCCTTCACAGATGCCAAATCCCATTGATTCCCTGCAGCACCTTGACATCTGGGCACATTCCTTTGGCTGTTACAAGAAGCATTTGGCACATCTGGGGGTTTTTGGTCTCTGGTTAGTATTCAGAAAAGTTAAGTTTTAAAAACATTACATGGTTTAAAAAAAAAAAAAGAAGAAGAAGAAAAAAAGAAAACCAGTGTTTCTGCCTCAAGAACAAACAAACAGCAGCATTGTTCTAGGATTGGGTTTGATATTCTGCATGCCAGAAATTGCAAAGCTCAGGGTCCTGCTATAAACCCTTCACAAGTTGTATTTCCACTGGCTTTCAGGATCAGGTTTTTCAAAGGATTACGTTGTTCAGTCTCTCTAGGTACTTACAAAGCGTGCTTATGCGATGCAGAGTCTGGACATGATAGGGTTTTCAAGTAGCACAAACACATCCTCTAATTTTTTTTTGATAGTCCATCTAATCCTATCTCTATGGGAAAAAACAGAAGGCTTTTACTCACTTCCTGATCTCTGATCTTGCAAAACAGTTCATAGTCACTGGAGGATAGTGCTGAGATAAACAGCAATTGGACTTGAAGTACTTGGTTAAGGGCAAGAGAAAAAGTTCACAGCCACACCACCTCTGGAGCAGACAGCTAATTTTAAGCCAGATCCCTCCTATGGGCCAATGGGGTAAGCTCAGCTGTTCCTAAGCTTTTTGGACTGGGTTAGCTGAGTCACCCTAATTCCTCTTACCCCAGGGGATTGGTTGTGTGGTCACTTACTCTGTTGCTGTTACGCTAACAAACAAACTAAAGAGATTGTTGTTTCATTCCCAGATCATTTCCATGATGCAGTTGCATAAACACAACAGGGAGACTGGAGAAAGGTAGGGCAAGGAGGCACAAACACCCATGAGAAAGTAACATCTATAAGCTGTTCCACCAGAAGAAACAGTGTCCAGCTCCACCAAATGCCTTATTTGATGATACGAAGCATTTGGCAGTAACGCCGATTTCAGCATGTCCCACTCTAGTCACCTATTCATGCCCTCTGCCAGTCTCACACCTGCCCAAGGACCCCTCCAACAAAACACTGCAAACCATAGACTGTTTTGTCACGCTTCATCAGTTTGCAGCTCCACAACCTCCGGCCAAGGGTAATCCAAAGAGAGGCCTGGCTGAGTAGCTAACCGGGGAGTATGAGGAGGGCAGGGAGCTGGAAAACAGCCAAATTATGGGTTGCCAGATACAGATCCATGACCCCCCCTAGGTGAGAGACATACGCATGTTCAGAGGGTTGTCCCACCCCAGATTCCGTCAGAGACATGCATGGAAGTGTTGCATACCTTAATGGTCTAAGGTTATCAGTGAAGTAGTGTTAGCAGTGCAAGCTAATAGCTTGTATTACACTAACTGAAAAAAGGACAAGTTTTTGCACTAACACCATTCAGGGATCTGAGAACTGCTCTGGACACACCTTAAGGACTTGTAAACCTCACTCACATGCACAGTCCTTCAAGGGTAACTAACGCAAAACTAAAGGCCTTCAGTTGCTATGTATACATAAATGGCTACATAAGAAAGTTAAAGCAGCAATCTCATACTGATAATACACCAAAAATATTTCTTTCCCTTTACCCCAGCTGTGACAGAGGGCACTATTTATACTAAAAAACAGCAACTCAACTTCACATGTATTTTCTGTACTAGCACTACTCAAATCATCATCCTCTTGTAAAGTTGCTGCTGAGTGGACCTTCCAGGACAGATTTCAAACACTAAACCCAATCAAAACAATCTGGGCTATCTGCAGTTTTAGACTAAGAGGTGGATCACCCCTACCCCTGGCTGCCCTCCCCCTCCTCTCCAGGCTGGCTTTTGAAGCACTAGCAAAGAAAGAGGAAATTCTTGGAATTCCTTCATCAGCATTAGGGCTTGTTTTGCACAAACTTGGACGGAGGTTGCTCCTAAGGGGCCAACTGATGCTTTCATCCTACTGCTGTGAGAGGGCTGGTTTTATTTATTTATTTTTCTTCCCCACCAGCTTACCCAGCCTCCTTCGGTGAATGAAGTGCAGTAGTGTCGAGCACAGAGATGCTGACATCGCTGATGGACTGGCTAGGTTTTAAATTACTCTCCCCCCTGGGAGGTGGAGGCTCTTTCCTTTTCTTCTTGGCAAAGAAGTTCTTGAAAGTCTGAAATTTGGATTTTTTCTTTCCTGCAACATGAGAAAAATGAAAATTTATGGAAGTTGGAGGTGTTGCTTAGGTTGGAGAAAGTTACCTCTTAAATTCTGGACGAAGCCTCAAAGCTAGAGCAGCCCATTCAATTTTAGTCAGCTCCTTTGTAAATAATTCAGTGCTGGAGTCCAGTGAAAGGTGAAGCTGCAGTTCTTACATTTGCTGCCTATAAAGCAACACTGGCATTAAACTGACAATAGTGGTGCCTACTTAGGTTCCAGTTTATGAAAAATACCCCTTATATAGAGAATGTATCTACGTACAACTGAACAGCAATCTTGCCAATCATACATCGATAAAAAAAATTATGTCAATGTCTAACTTTATCATTCGTTACTTAGCTCAGTTTATTTCTGCTTTCTCTTAACTCAGTGCTGTAAGGAGACAACACTTGAAGGATATTCAACATTTAGCAAAAAGATTGAAACTGGCAAAAGAATTTATAAACTCTAAATCCAAAATATCTATTTCCACATTAAACCACTGCCCCAAAATAAAATCAACAACTCCTCCAAGGACAATGGACAAAACTTTAAGACACTGCCCTGCAGAACATGAAACCCCCAAACATAGCAGCCCTAAGAACACAATTAGAAAACTGTTAATCTGATTTCAGATTTTCTATTGTCCAACTGAAAAGAAATACAAAAAGAACAAAATAAACCATATGAAACATCACTGACTTCTTTCATTTTTAATAACCTAAGATACTTTAACACTCTTATTTGTATTTGCTTTCAGCACACACGTGCCGCGTTTTGTCACTGACCCTTACATTTAGGAGTCAGTTTGGAGTGGTTTGGGTCAAACTATTGTACTAAGACCCCTGTGGTTGACTTAAATACATATGCAGAGCAATAACATCTCTGCATATCTGAGCCAAATTCATTGTTCAATTAATACTTTACAGCAGTTGGCATAATAAATGCTCACAGCTGGAGGATTCCTTCATAAGCAAGGCATTATTTCAACACAATTATTGTCTTCTCCCAGCAATGATTTAGTCAGTGATGCTCTGTCTCAACGTGTGCCCTGTACGTGTA